ATTTAAAGGAATCGATGAAACGTAATTTTATTTGATTTTTTGATTCTTCTTTAAAATCAACAGTTTTAGTAAACGAAATATATTTTTCCTTGGTTATCGGTAATAACTCGATTTTCCCTTCGAACGCTGTGGCTATTTCCTCGATGATAAAATGAGAATCGTAATCGGATAAATTGTGAAAAATTATCGGAATACAAAAAGAATCTTTATAATTTAGATTACAATTTGAATGCGCGGGACCTCTGTACCGCCCGGTCAGATGGCAATGATCGCGAACGCGTGTATCGTCTTGCGCAAACGGCTTTTCGCATATATGACAACGAGTGGCGCTACGGAATTTCTCCCACTCTTCAGACGTTAAATTTACCATGGGGACATTTGTTTTTAAAATATTCTTAACGCGAATTGCTAAATTTTTAAGGTCTGCGGCGAACCATGCTAAACAATCGGCACTACGACGCGAATGATACGCCGATAATGAATCGTCGAACGAGCAATGTACATAGTAAGCTAAACTAAATACTTGATGATGTTGATATAATTTCTCTTCTTCCTTCTTGGCCAGGACACATTCCAAATTGGCGTACACAATGAATGGAAGCCGCTCATTCCAATTAGGGTTGTTGAACAATAGCCACTTGTCCTTGTCGCTCGGCAACCGGACAGCGCAGTTGTTTAGCTTTCCGCAGTCGACTATGTGGGACTGCAACTTGTCGTCTGAATAAAAATAATGTAGACATCTGTAAAAGAAATAAAAAAATTTTTTTATCATAAGATTTTTTATATAAATTATTTGATATAATTATTCAAATAATATAAAATAAACTTACCGATCGCAGATATATCTCTTGTGATCTTTTTCGCTCAATTGCGAGCTCACGAGCCTGGATAAATTCTTGATCCAAGCGAAATGTCCCACGTTGTCGCCATCTTCAATGTACAGCAGATTCACATGCTTGTCCCGTTTCTGCTGCGAAAGACGTATCGGGACAATGTTTTTGTCTTCGATGCCGTACACATTGATTGAAATGTCATTTGCAAGTTCAAATTTGTTAATCTGATTCACAGTCACTGAAAACTCAATGTCCCAGAGATTCAGCACTCGCGTAATGAGGGTACCATGATTCCCGTTCCGCGTGACATTCGGCGGGATACAGAGCAGCGATCACTGCCCACGCGAAACACGCATTGTCCTTTGATTGCACGTTAATCACCGCTCTCTTCATCATAATCTCCCGCGGTAACTTGATGTGACATCCTGCGCGCATAGGATTATACTTGTTAATATTTATAGTTAAATTAAGTATTCGCGACAATGTTCACCCGCTATCGCGTTCCTGAAACTCTTCCAGAGACGCTAGGGTGGACTCGATAATGCGCTGTTCGTACCACTCGCGTAAATCAGATGTGCGAAAGAGTTCATAGTTTCTCGTATTCACACTTTTATTCGCATGTTTATCACCCGACACAAATTCACCGTTGAATATAGTGTTCACTTTCATATTACAGTGTTTTTTTAAAGCGTCCTGCACATGTTCCAACACAATGTCTTTAGCGTTATCGAAAAATTGGCGCGGTTCGATGTGATTATAGTTTATCACCGCACCAGTCGATACGCGACTCTCGAACGCCGTATCAATTTCGCGCCACACAAGTCCATTTTGGCGCGCACTACATCCGGCACCCGTGTACGAAACGTCCACGTACCGAATTCTTCAGCCCTTCGAGACGCGCGATCTGAGCAATCAGCGATTGTCGATATCCGATCGATAATCGCGGTCGTTTGATTCGACTTTGCTCTTCCAGCGACTCGATGTACTCGTCCCATCGTTGCTCCCACACAATGTAATTTTCCAACGAATCAAGCAAAGCGAATCCCGCAAAATTTGCTTCTCCATATTGTAACATTTGCAAAAATTAGCGTTTCTAATGATACTCCTGATGCACTTTAGCTACTGGTGGGGTGCGTCTTTCTATCATGATTTATATATCGTCTCATGCATTGTTTTATCATCGAACATTCTAGGACGATTTCATCTTACAAAAAATTCCCCGTAGTACCGTGTGCAATTTGACCTTGATAATTTTGCGTTTTGTCACGTACATTTGAAAAATCTAACGTGATTGCATCAGGGGCAGCCGTACATCGGCGCTCGATTTTAGCAAATTCAGCTAAATCTTTGTCTAAGGATGATGCATGTCTTAACCTTGGCAGTTATTTTTTTCACTATTTGTCACGTACATTTGAATAATTTTGACATGATTGCATCAAGGGCAGCCGTACATCGGCGCTCGATTTTAGCAAATTCAGCTAAATCTTTGTCTAGGGATGATACACATTTTAACCTTGGCAGTTATTTTTTCACTATTTGTCACGTACATTTGAATAATTTTGACGTGATTGCATCAGGCGCAGCCGTACATCGGCGCTCGATTTTTGCAAATTCAGCTAAATCTTTGTTTCGATGCAGATCTTAACCTTGAAAATTTCCCGTTTTGTCACGTACATTTGAATAATTTTGACGTGATTGCATCAGGAGCAGCCATACATCGGCATTCGATTTTAGCAAATTCAGCTAAATCTTTGTTCTGAGGATGATGTCATCGCAGCCGTACAACGGCGCGACAAAATTTTGGAAGAAATTAAAATGTTGCGTCAGCAATAATCCCCTCTACATCGCAATTTACGATACTATTTGAATTGATGTTAATTCTAATACGATTGCAGTATTGTATCAATCGCGCGTGTAAAAGGTGCACCGCTGAAGAAATTGAATTTCTACGTTCCGATTCGAAACGGTGAAACTCCGCCGTGTAAGAAGCAGAAATGCGACATGTAAGATTCGATTATTTAAACATTTTTCAATTTGTTTAAAATTTTCTTAAATATTGGTCTAATTATTTATATTTTTATAATATTCAGCCTCGTCGTGCGGCTCGCATACTTGGAAGAAGGTACGCTCTAACCCCGACGTCGTACAAGTATTTGGACATTGGAATAAGCGTTGTAGCTGTATCGTATGTAGAACTGATTCTCGGCGACAATCGAGGCAATCAAATAGTGTTGCCTTTTTCAATGTGGAATTTGTTGATGCGGAAGCAAGCAGACGTTGAACAATTTCTACAATCGACTGCTCCCCCATTAAGGATTGGAGATTTAACGATTGAAATGTATCAATCGAAAATTGTAAAACTCACACTATGCGGCAATTCTTTGTATATGAAACCAGAAACGTTATTACATTTATTTAATTTTGAAAATTGTATCGATCATAATATGCATAATTGGTTATGCGAGAATATGTATCTCGTAAATGAAAAATTTAAACAATTTGAAACTGTATTACAACGTAGTAATATTACTACTGTATGCGATGCTGTAAAAACGATACGCGAGAGTGATGCCTTTGACAGCGAATCATTGATCGATTGCGAATTATTAACATGTGCTGTAAATGATATTCTTTACGGTACGTGCAATAAATAATTATTTTTATTCCATCTATGATTTTATTTCTTTCCTTTCATACGAATAAGAATAGTCGACAATTTTTCTCATTACGCTCCGCTAAGGATGTAGAGAAATGCTGAGGTAGATCAGACGCGATGCTCTAGTTGGAATGAGATGCAAGATATTAAAAAGATATATAATGAAGAGGAGTCTGTGGCATTAGAATATTATTTCGTTGTTCTTTGCGTTTCGTTAGTCTTGTGTGTTACGTTAGTGCAATGGCTGAAGAAGACGTAATCATCATCGACGATGAAGACGAAGATGTTATATCGTCGACGAAGGCGTTGAAGAAATTATTATCATTGATGATGAAGATAATCAAATGGATATTGATGATGGTGATAACTATATGGACATTGACAATCTAGATGAATCAGACGAGGATGAAGAAATGTCTGATGGTGAAATAGAACCCTTGACAGACAGTGCTTACGATAGTGACAATAGTGATGCTGAACTAGTACAACAGAAACAGCGACATTTAGACTTACCCGAAATATTAACATTGAACGAGGCAACAAAGATATGTTATATTTCCTATTTTTACATGAAAAATGGATCGAGGTATTGCGCTGATTGCCTTCTGAGACTATCAGAATTGTTTCTGGAAGCTACATCTGTTCGGCAACATAGAATCACAGCTTATTACAATAGATATAATATTTCGTGCAAAGAGTGCAGGAAATCTCTACTTCAAATACTGCCGTGTGACATGTGCCCCATTTGCACACATTAAATAAATGGATAACATTGTAAGTATCTTTCCATTTGTAATATGACAAAAAGTATCCAAAAATAAATTATTAAAATCTAATGAAATATGTGTTTTTTCTGTTACAGGAGCGGCCCTCCCAGCCTGGCGCATCGCCCCCTTAAACTTCCCGGAGCGACCCCTTAGCCTTCCAGGAGCGGCCCTCTCACCCGGCACACCGTCCCCCCCATTAATTTTATTATACAGGGTGAGGAAAAAGTACCGGGACACCTAAATAACTTCTGAACGGTTTGAGATATCGATTAAAATTTACAAGGTTACAATGGTATCACACAATCTATCACATAACACCAAAAACGCCCATTTTGACACCCTCGGGGGACGGGGGGGAGGGAGAGCGAGAAAATTTTAAATGGAATGTGGGATCGAAAGAGGGTTCGTTTGAAAGAGCTTTTCGAGATGAGAACAACGCGATGTCGCCGAGGTCTCTACGATTTTTTTTCACAGAGTTATGATCATTTAAACATTGAGATTTCGCAGTAGCGGAGGGTCCACGACGAGGACGTGAGAAAGACTTTCCGCGGACACGTGTGGATAAAATTGCATGTAGGAAGGCATGTGGGGTGTGCGTGCTTGCGCAGTAATTAACGACTCCAAACCACCTCTGCTGTGTGCGTGTGTGTGGGGGGGGGTGTGCGTGTGCGTGTGTGTGTATGTGTGTGTGTGTGCAAGACCGAGGATGTAGTATGTAATTAACTAAGGCAAGTATAGGAAGGTTTATATCAATTGTTCAAAATGTGCACCGTCAACTGTTTGACAACAGGCTATCCGATGATAAAAAGATGAAACGGCATTTTGAATGTAATTATGAGGAATAAGAGCAGCTTCTTGAAGAATCCGATTTTGTAATTCATCCAGATTTTGTGGTTTCGTTTCGTAAACTCTTTCTTTTAAATAACCCCACAGAAAGTAGTCGAGAGCTGTTAGGTCAGGCGATCTAGGAGGCCACTCGATAGCTCCTCTCCTACCTATCCATCGCTCAGGAAACATTGTGCTTAGATAATGACGGACGTTCCTTCCGTAATGCGGCACAGCACCATCTTGTTGAAACCATGTGTCCTCAAAATTGTCCTCCACGATAGCCTGTATTGCTGGAATTATTTCATGTCTTAGCATATCCTCGTACTTCGCAGCTGTTAAATTTCCATCGATGAAAAATGGAACAATGAGGGCATTATTGAGAATGCCTGCCAACACATTTAATTTTTGCGGATATTGCGTGTGTGTTTCTTCAATCCAGTGAGGATTTGCGTCAGACCAGAATCTGCAATTGTGCCGATTAACGTTGCCATTTATCTGAAATGTTGCTTCATCTGAGAAAACTATGTTTGATAGAAAGTTAGGATCCTCGTCTATTCTTTCCATCATCAACTCACAAAATTCAATGCGCCTATCAAAATCATCCTCATTTAGCTCTTGCACAAGATGGGCTTTATAGGGATGAAATTTATTATTTTTTAATATTTTAAGAACAGACTTTTGATCGATGTCATGTTGCAGAGCTACTTTACGGCTTGAATCATGCGGATTTTCGATGAAGGATTGTAAAACATCTAATGATTTTTCTGGATTTGTTGCTGACTTTGGCCTACCTAATACTGGGCGATTTTTAACACTTCCAGTTTCGTTGAAACGCCTTATCGTTCTCTCAACTGTAGATCTTGAAATGGCAGTATCTTCATTGCGAAAAGTTTCATTGAAAAGCTGTCTCACATCATTGTACGATCTCAATCGATCGCCCCAGCCTCTCATCATCAAAAGAGATATGCGCTCTCGTTCAGAAAGACGTAACATCGTTGACTGAAGGGATAAAAATGGGTCAAACTAAATAAACTAATACTTGGATATCAAGTGTTAAAACTTATTGAAAAGACAGCGAAGAGTAAAAATCACGGATCGTGATACAGTAAACTGTGATGAATGTTCAATAAATTAACTCGGGAAGCGATAATCGAACAGAACTTGGGTACGATCTGAGATTGAAATCAATTTCAACCGCGTTTGTGATCCAAACTTCGAGGAAGAACCTGGAAACGAAAAACTGAGAGCACATGTGCTATCGATAAATGGCACTGCTACGGTTTTGGGAATTCATGCACACCCACCCGCACACACCCACCCACCCACCCACACACACACACACACGCACGCACGCACGCACGCACGCACACAGCAGAGGTGGTTTGGAGTCGTTAATTACTGCGCAAGCACGCACACCCCACATGCCTTCCTACATGCAATTTTATCTACACGTGTCCGCGGAAAGTCTTTCTCACGTCCTCGTCGTGGGCCCTCCGCTACTGCGAAATCTCAATGTTTAAATGATCATAACTCTGCGAAAAAAAATCGTAGAGACCTCGGCGACATCGCGTTGTTCTCATCTCGAAAAGGTCTTTCAAACGAACCCTCACTCGACCCCACATTCCATTTAAAATTTTCTCGCCCTCCCTTCCCCCCGCCCCCCGGGGGTGTCAAAATGGGCGTTTTTGGTGTTATGTGATAGATTGTGTGATACCATTGTAACCTTGTAAATTTCAATCCGATATCTCAAACCGTTCAGAAGTTATTTAGGTGTCCCGGTACTTTTTCCTCACCCTGTATATTTTATATTATTATATCATTATATTATATTATTTTTATATTTTAAAATTTTACTATTTTAATCTTAATTTTAAGTACATACACACACACAAATATGTATAAAACACATACACATTTTAAAATAAATTTTATATATATTTTAATTAAAAAGAAAAACTAATTATTTATGCGCCTCTCCTTGCGTTCCCATCCCTCTCGTCTCTCTTGCGCTATTTGTAAGAATTTATCGTTCTCTCTATCATACTCATTAGTTGTAAGTCTCGCGATATTATTGTTCTCTCTTGTACACGTCGTTTTCGCGCTATCGTTCTCTCTTGCACGCGTCATCTTCGCGCTATCGTTCTCTCTTTCGTGCGCTAATTGTAAGTCTCGCGGTATTATCGTTCTCTCTTGCACGCGTCGTCTTCGCTCTATCGTTCTCTCTTTCGCGCGCTAATTGTAAGTCTCGCGGTATTATCGTTCTCTCTCGCATGCGTCGTCTTCGCGCTATTGTTCTCTCTCACACGTTGCGCTATCGTTCTCTCTCGCACGCGTTGTCTTAGAATATTATCGTTTTCTCTCTTTCGCTTAGCATATACTCGTTGCTCACTTACCTTTGCGTCGTCCTTCTCTCACCTAAACGTCGTCCTTGTCCCACGATGATGCCATCCTTGTCGCACTCGTAGCACTATCCTTTTCCCACACGTAGCGCTGTCCTCCTCACACCACCGTCTTCGTTCCGCGGATCCCCTTCACCGCGCGAACCCCCTCGTCCATCGCTCGCGCCGCCGATCCCCCTTCCCCGCGCGTGACGTCACTCCCCCGCATCGCGGTTCTCCTCGCGCCTTACCCCCCCTGAGAGGACCTGGGTTAGAACCGACCTAGTCTCACTACTGAAAGAAATAAAATCATAGATGGAATAAAAATAATTATTTATTGCACGCATCGTAAAGAATATCATTTACAGCACATGTTAATAATTCGCAATCGATCAATGATTCGCTGTCAAAGACATCACTCTCACGTATCGTTTTTACAGCATCGCATACAATAGTAATATTATTACGTTGTAATACAGTTTCAAATTGTTTAAATTTTTTATTAACGAGATACGTATTCTCGCATAACCAATTGTGCATATGATAGATACAATTTTCAAAATTAAATAGATGTAATAACGTTTCATGTACAAAGAATTTTCGCATAATGTGATTTTCACAATTTTCGATTGATACATTTCAATCGTTAAATCTCGAATCCTTAATGGATGAGCAGTCGATTGTAGAAATTGTTCAACGTCTGCTTGCTTCTGCATTAACAAATTCTACGTTGAAAAAGGCAACACTATTTGATTGCCTCAATTATCGCCGAGAATCAGTTCCACGTACGATACAGTTCCAACGCTTATTCCAATGTCCAAATACTCGTACGACGTTGGAGTTAGAGCGTACCTTCTTCCAAGTATATGAGCTGCACGACGAGGTTGAATACTATAAAATATAAATAATTAAACCAATATATTTATAATTTAATTAATATAACAAATTTTTTTAAATAATCAAATCTTACGTGTCACATTTCTGCTTCTTACACGATGGAGTTACACCGTTTTGAATCGGAACGTAAAAATTCATGTCGATTTCTTCAGCAATCAACCTTTCACACGCGCGATTGATGCAATACTGCAATCGTATTAGAATTAATATCAATTCAAATAGTATCGTAAATTGCGATGCAGAGGGGATTATTGTTGACGCGACATTTTAATATTCTCTAAAATTTTGTCGCGCTGCGATGTACGGCTGCGATGACATCATCCCCAGAACAAAGATTTAGCTGAATTTGCTAAAATCGAGCGCCGATGTACGGCTGCCCTTGACGCAATCACGTTAGATTTTTCAAATGTACGTGACAAAACGCGAAATATTTAAGGGTAAATTGCACGCTACTCAGGGGAATGTTTTTTAAGATGAAATTATTCTAGAATGTTCGACGATAAAACAATACACGAGACGGTATATAAATCATAATAGAGAGGCATTCCACCAGTAGCTAAAGTGCATCAGAACAGTCATTGGAAATTTTGCAAGTGTGCGTGTTACAATATGGATGACAAATTTTGCGAGAGTAATCCACATCGATTGATTCGCTGGAAGATTACATTGTGTGGGAGCAACGATGCGACGAGTACATCGAGTTGCTGGAAGAGCAAAGTCGAATCAAACGACCGCGATTATCGATCGGAAATCGACAATCGCTGATTGCTCGCATCGTGCGCCTCGAAGGGTTGAAAAATTCGGTACGTGGACGTTTCGTACACGCGGGTGCCGAATGTAGTGCGCGTCAAAATGGACTTGTGTGGCGTGAGATTGATACGACATTCGAGAGTCGCGTATCGACTGGTGCGGTGATAAACTATAATCACATCGAACCGCGCTAATTTCTCGATGACGCCAAAGACATTGTGTTGGAACATGTGCAGGACGCTCTAAAAAAACACAATTATGTAAAAGTGAACACTATATTCAATGGTGAATTTGTGTCGGGTGATAAACATGCGAATAAAAGTGTGAATACGAGAAACTATGAACTCTTTCGCACATCTGATTTACGCGAGTGGTACGAACAGCGCATTATCGAGTCCACCCTAGCGTCTCTGGAAGAGTTTCAGGAACGCGACAGCGAGTGGGCATTGTCGCGAATACTTAATTTAACTGTAAATATTAACAAGTATAATCCTATGCGCGCGGGATATTATGATGAAAAAAGCGGTGATTAACGTGCAATCAAAGGACAATGCGTGTTTCGCTTGGGCAGTAGTCGCCGCCCTATACCCCGCCAAAAGAAAGGTTGAATGAGAATCATCGTATCCGCATTACGCGATAGTGCTGAATCTCCAGAATATTGAGTTTCCAATGACTGTGAACCAAATAAAACATTTTAAACTGCTTAATGACATTTCGATTAATGTGTACAGTATCGAAGACAAGAACAGCATTGTCCTGATACGGCTTTCGCAGCAGAAACGGGATAAGCATGTCAACTTGTTGTACATTGAAGACAACAGCGTTGGACATTTCGCGTGGATCAAGAATTTATTCAGGCTCGTGAGCTCGCAACTGAGCAAACACAATGATCAAAGATATATCTGCGATCTCGGTAAGTTTAATTTATATTATTTGAATAAGTATAATTTATATAACCAATTGTTCTAATTTTAATTAAAATTTTTCTTTCTTTTACAGATGTTTCAACTATTTTGGTTCGGACGACAAGTTGCAATCGCATACGATCGACTGTGGAAAGATGAATGACTGCGCTATCCGGTTACCGAGCGATAAGGACAAGTGGCTCGAGTTCAACAATTTTAATCAGAAGGTGCGGCTTCCATTCGTCGTGTATGCCGACCCGGAATGCGTTCTGGCAAAGAGGAAGAAAAATTGTACCAACATCATAGGGTATTTAGTATAACTTACTATGTACACTGCTCGTACGACGAATCGTTATCAGCATATCATTTGCGTTGTAGCGTCGATTGTATAGCATGGTTCGTCGAAGACCTCAAAAATTTAGCAATTCGTGTAAAAAATATTTTAAAAACAAATGTCCCCATGGTAAATTTAACGTCCGAGGAGTGGGAGAAATTCCATAACGCCAATGTCACATATGCGAAAAACCGTTCGCGGAAGACGGTACACGCGTTCGCGATCATTGCCATCTGACCGGACGGTACAGAGGTCCCGCGCATTCAAATTGTAATTTAAATTATAAAGAATATTTTTGCATTCCGATAGTTTTTCATAATTTATCCGGATACGATTCTCATTTTATTATCAAGGAAATAGCCACAGCGTTCGAAGGGAGAATCGAGTTACTTCCAATAACCAAGGAAAAATATATATCATTTACTAAAAATGTTGATCTTAAAGAAGAATAAAAAATCAAGTAAAATTACGTTTTATCAATTCATACAAATTTCTTGCATCGAGTCTCGACAAATTGGCATCATTTTTAGACAAAGACAAACTTAAAATTTTGAAATCGAAATTTTAAAATTTATCTACAGAACATTTCAATTTGTTAACGCGAAAAGGTGTATTTCCGTATGAATACATCGATTCCGTTGACAAGTTTCAAGATACATGTTTACCACCGCGCGAATCGTTTTACAG